AGAAGGGTCCCGGGCGGGGCGCCGCTGGTTTGGGAGCCGCTACTCATAAACAGCATTTCTAAGGGACTCTTGGAAATAGAAACAAAGCAGCGAGCCTGGATTTCCTGAACGATTCTACGGGGAAAAGTCTGTAGAATTTTGTTTTCATCCTTCTTATGGGTGGTTTTAATTACGCAGTTAATCGTAAGGGCTCCCTTCCCAGCTCTGGGGGAGCTGAGCTGTAACGGGAGCTGCTTGTCGGGGGGTTCTAATCCCAGGGTCCCGTCCTCGGAGCAGAGATCTCTGTGGACAACCCCAGGGACATGCCTGGCTTTTGCCCCGTGTGACCTCACCCCACACTCTCCAAACTCCGGAGCAGGAGCAGAATTCAGCCCCGTGCCGGCTCGGGGGGGTGTTGGGTCCTGCAGCCCTGAGCGGGACTTGCCCTGCACGGCCCCAACCCCCCCAGGGCCGGGGGGGCTCCCCCGGTGTTACCTGCTCTGTGCCACCGCAGTGCCCAGATGTGCCTCTGTGTGTGTCTATCATTCTTAGGAATACACAGAGAAGCTGAAATGCAGGACTCTGTACATCATTGCAGAGCCACACGTCTACAAGGCAGGCGTGTTTATCCACACGCAGCTTCTCATCTCAGCTTCTCTCCCGCGCTCCTAAAAACAATTTGATTTTCAGGTCTGTTTGTACACACTGTGCATCATTAAATATGAATATACTATAAATAATAACTAAAAAAAGTCGAACGATTATTGATAGCCCGATGCCACAAACAGGTTTGTATCCCTGGCAACACCTCATCTCTCCCTGCCCGTAAAGCTCCTAACGAATGCAAAAAAATGTGTACTGGTAGCTTAAAAAATAATGCTCTGTTTTCAGCAGCATTTCTGAGTCACACAAACACGTTTCATTAGCCTGTTCCTGAGCAGGCAAATACTGCTGAGATTTAATATCTCTTTTTCTTAGCAATTTTTTTTTCTCTTGCACTGGTGAATGTTCAGGTAGCTCCTAAAAATTGTATCAAAATTGAAGATAAACCTCAAAGCCAAATAGAAATGCAGAACAGAAGCTAGAAAGACACTGAACTCACATTCCCCTTTCAAGGATTATTTTTAAATCACAGTCTTATATTTTAGGATGTACTTTTCATGCATATTTTTTAAAATCCAGAAGGTATTAGATGTTTGTACTCAGAACAAATAATAATCCCGTGGCCTCCTATGAAGATCTGTCAGCAAGGATGGAAATAATAAGGAATTACAAGTGGGAAGTGCAAGGCTGCTCAGCTCCCACCCGTGTAATCTGTTTCTATCCAGAGCTTGCAGGGCTTCCCGTGCAGCCGCTGCCAGCCGCGGCCATTGCTCTCCCAGTAAAACCAGTCCCTTTCTCTTCCAGATGAGCCCTCTATGTCTGAAATGAGCCATTCCAATGGGATTTACAGCAATCTCAATGAAGCATCCCCTGCCCTGGGGAGACAGGCTGGGACCAATGGGAGCTTTGCTCTGGATCACAGCGGCATCCCAGCTCAGGACCAGTACCACGACCTACGATCCAACAGCCCCTACGGGATTCCCCAGTCACCGGCTTCCTTGCAGGCACTGCCAGGCCACCAGCCTTTGATTTCCAGCTTGGTTTACCCAGACAATGGTTTGGGCATCATGGGACAAAGTGGACAAGGGGTGCCCCAGTCCATGAGGGTCCTGGCTGGGAACGGACCCAGCTCTGACCTCTCCACGGGCAGCAGCGGGGGGTACCCGGACTTCCCTGCCAGCCCGGCCTCCTGGCTGGATGAAGTCGACCACGCTCAGTTTTGATACAGGATCCTCCACCACGCCGTGGGAAGGACCCAGCGCTGTTTAACTCATCTACTCTTGGGAATAAAGGAGGGACAAACCGTGGCTGCTGAGCAGGGCAGGAAAGCAGGACAGCACGGAGGGAGGGGATGTGCTTTGGAGGGTGAGACCGCTGCGGGCTGGCAGAGGACGGGGGCCAAGGCAGCACAGAGAGACAGAGCATCCAAACGAAACCCATTCTCGTGTCTTTACTAAACACCAAGACTTGTGCTTTACAGATCTGATAGAAGGTATTTTGCTTTCTGTTGTCAGTGCGTTCTCCAAAGCAAGGACTTGCTTCATCACCCGTCCACACCGAAACCTCTGAAAGACAAACCAAACTCCTCATCCACGCTAAAAGGTGTGACAGTGTCTGTGTTCCTAGAGGAGAAATGTTACTAGTGAATCACTTCAGAAATCCATGGTAGAAACTCTGTTCTTCCAGCAGGTTTTTTAACAGCGCCTGACGCGGTCGGTATGTTTGGGGTTATTTTGGATTTACATTAACTTTTCTAAAATGAAATGCTCTTTAATATGCCAATCATTTCCCAACGACCCTTTTTTCCTTTGTAAAATGAAATTCATATGTTAATTCTGCTTCTCCTCTCTTTAATTTGTAGGCTGCTAGTTTATTATTTCATGTAAGCATTAAACCCTGACTAGATGTATTTATTACCAAATAACTACACTTTGATCACGAGGTGATTTTTTTCTTGACCCAGGAACACTAGTGGCTCTGGGTTGTGAATCTTATGCTTTTCTTTCCAATCCTTTTGCAACGGTTCTACTGCAAAATGTCTCAAAAAAATCACTCTCATGTCTTGTTGCCAAATCCCTTCGGGAGGGGGGAGGGGGGGGGACGTGTCTCTCAGCAGGGGGGTTTGGCTGGTTTAGTTCAAGCCTTTCTCTGCTGGGAGGGTGTGGGAGGCAGCACAAGATTTCCTGGGGACACTTCTCTGTTCCAGGCACTTGTGTATTCCTGCAGATCTGGCGGGAGCTGCTTGTGAGGAAAGGCAAGACAATGTGTATATTATTCTCTGTAAAAAAGAAAACAAAAAGCATTAAGGGTAGATGATGTGAATGTCCAGTGTCTTTTATTTATATTCTTGCTTTCTCTCTGATGATCAAATCGTTCAAAATTACAAATAAATTTGTCAGCTAAACTTGAACTGGTGGTTTGCTGAATTCACACCCAAAGCATCAAGACAGGAAAATGCAATTCCTGAAACTAAAAGAAAAAGCCCCGGAAATGTGGTGCCACGGTTCTGCAAAATGCTGAAATACACTTTTCCCTTTAAATACGGGAGCAACCCCACGGATAGGAAAATGCTTTGGTAAAAATGAGGTTTGGAGGCTGGCAGTCCTTGGGAGATCCGGACAGGTTTGCTCTGTGCATGCACAGGCACAGCCCGGTCCCAGCCAGGCTGTTTTGGAAGGCTCGTGGTTATTTTTCAGCCTGTGCTGCAAAGGTGGAAACGTGCGAGGTAGAATTTTGTGCTGAACAAGCAATAGAAAATAACAGAGTGGGATAATGTCTGTCTGTGGTTGTGAGACACTGAAAGTCAGATATTGGAATTTTTTTTTTTTTTAAGACAAGTCAGAAAGAAGAGGAAGAAGACCCTGGGGAATGGAGGTTGACAGAACACACGGGTTCCCTGTGTGTCTGAGCTGCCTCTGCCTCCGCAGCACCCGCGGTCCCGCTGCTCACAGCGGGGTGAGGGGCTTTGCTGGGGGCTCTGATTTAAGAGTCAGATGGGAGATGCATTTTAAAGCACACGGGCTTTGAGTCTCCCATTCCCCTGGGGAATGGGTTAATATTTGTACTGGGGTCTGCTGTGCATCCTGCAGCTTTGAGTGTGTGTGACTTTGAGACCAGCAGCCCGCGTTGGCTGGGAGGCAGTGCTGGGATCGGGCTGCAGTGGGTGATGTTCTGCCCCACAGGTGACGTTCTGCCCCACAGCTGATGTTCTGCCCCACAGGTGATGTTCTGCCCCACGGGTGATGTTCTGCCCCACAGCTGATGTTCTGCCCCACAGGTGATGTTCTGGCCCCACGGGTGATGTTCTGGCCCCACGGGTGATGTTCTGCCCACAGGTGATGTTCTGCCCCACAGGTGATGTTCTGCCCCACAGGTGATGTTCTGGCCCCACGGGTGGTTCCCCGGCCCTCTCGCACCGCCTTGCTTCTCTCACACCGCCCTGCTCTCTGCAGGGGACCCCACGGGACAAGCTGTGCTGTCCCCAGGAGGCTGCCAGCCCTAGCACAGGGTGCATTGCCCCGGGAACTCAGCAGATGTCAGGCGGTGACACCTGGGATGTCTGGGCTTTTATTCCTTACTTTTTCCAAAGGACACGTGGCTGCCGGAGGGCAGGGTGATGTGCCACTGGCTCTGCTCTCTCGCTGGGATCACCTTGGCTGCTTTGCAGCTGTGGGGAAGGTGTGCTGGCCACCACACCTGGCCATCACTCCCTGCCTCTCG